CAAAAAAGTAATCCTTATTTTCAAATATAATTGTGCAAAGTTTTATTTAAATATTTTAGCATTTTAAAAAAGTAAATAAGAGCTAAAAAAGTGCAAAAACGCAGGCAAATTTGCCTGTGTTGGTCTATATATTAAGGGATATAACACCCTATTAACTCTATACTATATTTCAAAAACATACTAAGTAAATGGGATCAGGTATCTTAAGTAAAATGCTTAGGACCTATGAAAACCTTACAAAAATTAAAATTAGGACCTTATTTAGTATATATTATATTATATAAAAAAACTTCTATATATATTAAAGCTGCACCCTAACCCAAATTCAAAACATATAGGGTGTTATATAACACCAGTATTATAAATATAATATTCCTAATAAATAAATAAAAAATAAACTAAAATAAATATTTTATTATTTATAAATATTATTTATATATATATATATTTTTTTGAATTTAAGCAATCCTGCTTTTATTTATTTTATGAACTTACTATACGATTATTACATAAATAACCACTGATATAGTGTAATACTCTATTCTAATAGAAACTCACCAAGCGTACTAAGTACTGCCCAATGCGATCTGCTAAAACAACTATTAGTCTCACAAAGGGATCCAAAACTCGCTTCGGATTTTGTATTGACAAAGGATACCCTTCGATCATTTGACCGGATGTTGTATACCACATCAGGATCTCTTTTTTCTCTTCTAATTCTTTCTTCTTCTCAAGAGGCACGAGACAAAAGGGAGAAATTTTCAAACAAACAGTAACGAAAATGACCAGAAAAAAAGAAAAAACAGAAAAGAAAAAAGAAATACTGATTGTGAAAAAGAAAAAACATAAAAAGAAATCTAAAACCCTGAAGGCACTATTATAGCCCATGCATGGCTGATAAAAATTATATAACAAATACACTATTTGTATATCTCTACTATAAAGCTATGCCTTAATGTTAAATTTACTTTTTGACTTTCCCACCAATTCCGGATGGCTCCATTGCCCGAGGGTTTCCAGACTGAGTCCCGTGAAGTAGCATCATATTCGTCTGTAAACAAACACGTGGTTGCATTTCGCTAATCTGTCCAGATTTGGAAAGTAAACAATGCTGATCTTTTGAAGAGGGTAAGCCAAATCCCCCACTTTTTGTAAAAAATTTTGGAAGGCCGGCAGGAAAGCGGAAGTGAGTAAAAGAAAAGTCACTTGGCCAAGTAAAAAAGTGTGGCTTAAGAATAGCAAGTTCTTCACTGTTCTCCAGTTAATTCACAACAGATTGCTTCATCGACAGTGGAAAACCATGATCCCCACCAAAATTTCGTATACAAGGGCACACTTCCCCAGCCAGTTATCTTGTATAAAGATGCTTTCGGCTTGCATGTCGAATATATAAAGAAGTTCTTTGTAAAGCAGAGAAGGTTGACCTTTATAAAAACCACACTGTTGTCTACCCACTACAGGTACTATTCAACGCTCCAGTATCCAAACTTGACTTTTCTTTCGTGGGAAATTTTGGTCCAAGTGATCGTCGGAAAGAGTTGTTATGTATTGTGAATTTATATATATTATAAAGCTTCATATTTGATTATAGCTTCTTTTTTAAATATAAAGTATTTTTTCTAACTTGAACTAGTATACTGTATACTGGTTAATAAAATAGTTAAAAATACATACAAATTATACTGTATAGTAAAACTCAAAATTAATGCCACCCTAGTAGGTTTAGGTCACAGATAACTAGTTTAGCCTTGGCCAAGCTTTTAGTCTGAGCTCTTATTCTTGTATGTAATTTATATTTCTTTTGTTATTATACAAATTAAGTTTTTATATATTCTATGTAATCACTTGTATAAATTACCAAATAAAAATACGAGCAAGGCCTCACCTGGGTATACACAACCTTTCATGGAACACGGGCTTTCATATTTTTTTTGGAAACATAATTTAAAATAATTCCAAGTATCTAAAGAGAGTGATAGCATATAGATAATAGTGTAAACCATTTATTAAGAGTGACGATTAAAACGCATTAATATTATAACGCGTTTTTAATTAGCCGATCGGAATTGTTAATTATCGTTATGTCTATCACTTAAACAATTAAATTGACAGAAATTTTTATTTTTAAAATTAGGTGATAATCATATATGAGTAAGTGATAAATAACACATAAGATCGATATTTTAGCCAAAAAAATGAACCACCACCACATAATTAATTAATCTAACTTTATATTTATTACATATTATATATAGTATATAAAATAAAATCTATAGTCTAAATCCAATTTCAATAATATATATAAATATTAACATTTAAGATTGCTCTGAAACCTTTGCAATAAAATGTCACAATTTCTATATAATCTAGAGTGTGCCAGTAATAATTTGAAATTAAACTGTTTCAAAGTCATTAGTAAGACCAGACAATCTACGTTCTGATAATATTGTATATTTAAGTTGTTCTTGAGAATCCTCAGGGTTCACAACATCTGGGTGACGAATAGCAGAGAGATGACGTAGAACATCCTTCTTAGTGATTAAACCAAGAAGCTGTCCGTGTTGGGTAACTAAAATATAGCGAAGACCCTAAAGTATTTAGAAAATATGAAATATGTATTTTGTAAGTACTACAATTACATATGAAAATATTATTTAAGAAACCAAAACTTACCATTTTTCTAAACAATTCTATTGTCATTTCCATTGGAAACTTGGGGGATATAGTAATTGGTGTCTTAAAACAGATAGAAGAAAGAATACAAATCAATGCGTGCCTAATAATAACGTTATGTATGAGCTTAAAGATATATAATTTACCTGGTCCATCCATGGTTTAAAATCGATGAAAGAAGTTGAATCAAGGATTGGAAGATTGCTGGAGAAATAGCAGGGACTTAGTAATGAAATTCCCGGTTTTTTTTTTGCTTTATCTGTAAAATCATTTATTTACGTGATTAATATCAATAAATGTTTGTAACGTCAATACCAGTGTTGGCATTTGGACCATGTCCAATAAAAATTTCATTTGGACATGAACATATGGACATATAAAAATTTTTATATATCCAAATTCGCCCAATTGCCAACACTGGTAAACTCAATGTTAACCTTACCCATTGCATATCGAAGCTCCGAACGCGATATATATCCAGTAAGTAGCATAGTCTTCTCATTGTTGACTACAGGAAAACCTTTGTAATCTGTATCATTAAGCAATTCATCTAAATGCATAATTCACAAAAGTTATATAAATAATAGTACTATTATAGTTTAATCCCTAAAATTATATCAATATTTTATACCCAAGCTTTCCAAAGTATGCCCTGTAGCCGTTATTACCATCAGGTCTTCTACTCGAGTCATGTATTGAGAAGCTAATGTATTATATACATAATCTTCTTTGCTATCCAGAAACGGATATTCGTTCATACGTATCCATCCATCATAAATACCCTCCTTATCAAACGCGTCGCCAACCCATTTACTTATCATTACTAGAGAATTTAATAATAATATTAACAACAACAAAGTTTATCTTGAAGAATTACTTTTATTATTTTCATACCAGCAATCATAATAGGCAGAACATAAGTTAATGCACCAGTCAGTTCAAACATAATAACAACAAGAGATACTAAAATGACAAAGTTTAATAATTTATTAAAAGAAAAGGTTGCAAAAATTGATTGTTTTTATATATAAAGCAAATTCTACCTGTCATGCGTGTAACTCCTCCAAAAGTAGCAGCTGCGCCAACCATGGCATACATTCCTGGTGTAATGCATTCGGTATCAGGGTCACATGAAGCAAAAAGCCAAAATCCAGGATCATATCTAAAAAAAAAATTGCATTTTTCAACATAAAATGAATAAGATAAACCTATCTTTTTGGCTAATTAAAATCAATAATTGAATAAATAATTTACTTGTGCCAAGCATGAACAATCAACCCAACTGCTCTGCCAAAACAGGCACCTATTGCCATCGATGGTAACCACACACCAGCCGGAACTTTTAGACCAAATGTTACCGTTGTAAGAAAGAATTTCAAAATTGATGCAATTAAAAGTAACAAAGTTGGTTCCCAGTAATTGGTATAACTTTAATGCACGGTAATGATATATAATTTAGTATTAATGTTTCCTAAATATAATTGGTTTAATATATTAAAATTATATATTAGTTCTTACTTGCATAAATTATGATAGTCTCCTCCTTCACATTCACGGAAGAGATTCGCAACTAGTTCTGATGGATTGACCCTTGATATAAATGAGACATCATTCAAAACAAAGAAATGTTATATTATATTTAGCAAATTTGCGAAATAACAATATGCTTGACATATTACCTCATGTAAATGTTTAAATAACTCACGATAGAAGTAAAAAGGGAAATAATAATAACTTCCTGTACACTAAAATAACGTAACCACGAGTTCTTACGGAAAACAGCAACTTTTAGATTCATACGAATGAACAAAGCGCCATAAAGGCCCTGTAACATATAATAATAATGGCAGATTAAAAACAGTCATTTCATGCATTCAAATCACATAATTTTATGGTTTTAGCCAGAATAACATACACCCATTATACCCAATAACGCGAAGAAGAACATGTCAAATCCATGCCATTTTCTGTCGTAAACAACCTGGAAAAGTACAAGTTTTCCTGTTCTATATGGATTCATAGACTAATAATAATAATAATAATAATGACGTTAATGTTTAATCAAATGAATTATACTTATGAAAAAATTCAATCAAGATGTAAAGTATGTAAAGATATAATAAAGAATACTTACTGCTAGAGATACTGCTGCGACCATAGCACAAAAAAAACTTCGCCACATAGTTCTGAATGGGAAATAATATGATACTTCCTAATTTTGTACGCGTTAATCACTCAAATAGTTCATCAGATAAAATTTATTCATGTAATTACAGTAAATACCTCTAAGCTGAATAGAACACCACCAATTGGAGCACCAAAAGCTACTGAAACACCAGCAGCAGCAGCAGCAGATAATACTTCTCGCTTTTTAGCTATAAAGGATACAAGTTCATTTTAACCATTAACGATATGATGAAGACAAATATTTATTACATAAATTCTCATACCTTCATTATATCTGAATTTGGGAAATATTCGAGGGATGATATTTCCACAACAACAAGCTAAATGAATTAATGGACCTTCTTTACCTAAACATAGGCTTGAAGCAGCAACAAGGCACTGAAAAATGTTGAATGTGAAACTCGATGATAATCTAATTATGTGGGTTTGTTAAAAATTAATAGCTTACCACGCCTATACTCTTTATAATTAGAGACCACCAACCCAAAAATTTCCTGATAACAAAACCACCAAGGATAGTCTTAATTTCAGGTATACCACTACCAGAGGAATAAGAAGAATAACATTTTACAAGATAGGCCGCTACTGTAGCGAAAGTGGTCTAAACATTTAGATAAAAATTAAATTATAATAAAGTAAACATTGAAAATAACAATAATCATCGACTTACAGAAAATATTATATAAAATAGATAATTTGTCCAAAATGCAGCACCAGCGGATTTTGCCTGAAGTGCTGTAGTCCATCTAACCCATTCTACGCATGAATCACGATTGTCTAAAAATTTGAATCATTTCGCGAATTCAGCACTTTATTAAATATAATAATTCTTCCTTGTAGATATAATAATATTGATAATACCATAACCCCAACAACAATTTTTTCTATTTAAATAAAATCCAGTTTTACAATATCCTTCCCTTATATCACTAAGCCATTCCGTCGTTATATCAATAACAGCAGCAAGAATACCGGATATCACACCTATAAATGTAAAAAATTAAGAAAGTTAAACTTAAAATTTTTTTAGAAAATTCGTCAAGAAAAAATGACACATACCAACAGCTAAGACAACGATCCATCCCTCCATTGCGTCAAAAATACGCCTCAATTGACCAGCTATACCTTTCTGTTGACGTAATTTTTTTTGACGCGCACGTTCTTTAGCAAAATCATGGATCCAATCTTTAATAAATTGTATTATTAATTGATTAAAAATTATTAATAGTATATATAGTTAAGAATAGAAAATATTGAAAAAAAAAAAAATTGGTAAACTAAAATTAACGACCAGCAAGTCAACAGACCTATTGTAGTAAAATCATCATATGCAACTCTTCTTCCTGTACCCTCCATTGACCAATCCGCAATATCTGAGTCAAACTCATCATCATTATGTTTTCTTAAACTTGTAGAAGTATAACCAGCCTCCGAAATATATTTTTTTTTCAACGGAGATTCCGGACGGGAGAAAATTCGACTACTTGTAATTCGAGAAGAATTTTTACGTTTGAAAGTAAAATCATCCAAACCAGTTCTATTTTGTAGGGAAATTGATTTAATGAAAAGTGATAGAATAAAACTCATTTTAGGCTTTCTTGGAAAAATTAACAAAGATCTACAAACTAAGAATAAGGAAAGAAAGGAGAATGACCTAACATCGAAAGCCAAGGGAGAGATCGATGTTAAAGGCACCTAAACTATACAACTACCTACAACTTCGCTTTCAATGCTTCTGCCGCCGAGAAAGTCTGTTGCCCGAATTCTTCAGCATTGTCAAAAAACGGAGAAGTCCCTTGAGATTCCTCAGAAGGAGTAAAGCTCCTTGCTACACTAACATTCGATACGCTAACATGATTATGGGGAGTCGAACTGCCAGTGGTTATTGGAGTGGACAGTAACGAGTTCTCAAGGCCAATTTCGTCCACGTCCATTATAGTGGATGTAAGATAGACGGGATAATCATTATTTTGGGCCGTTATCCTATAAGATAACTTTCTCGTGATAATCACATAAAATTTAACTGACGGGTCCCGATTCGACACCGAGTCAGACTGTCATATCAAAAATTTACGTTATATACGCCGGGTATGGTTTTTTTTATTTCGAAAATTTTACCGTAAAGTGCCATATAAGGTACCCGGGTACCTTATATCTTGCATGACTTATACCCCCCTGTACAGTATTTGCTCGTTAGAAAAAATTTTTCTTTACTATTAAGTCAGCTATTGATTTGTATCTAGGTATCTCACAAAATACCATAACAAATAACCTTGAAACATTGGGGTGTTTCATATATTAATTAATCAAATCCATGTGATATGCAATAATCACATTATTATCGACAGATTTTT